TATATGTTGTTTGTGTTATTATCATATGCAATTGAATAAGTAGACCATTTCGGAATTCGCAATTTGGGACTCTCTCAATGCATAATGGGATTCATACTTTTCTGATCAGTGAGTCCCTGGGACTCGCTGCAGGTGAACTGTAAAATGATCACTGTGAGATTACCGCTTTTTCTGCAGTCAGTGATTGACTTCTATGCAAAGTCATTTCTCAACTTGTGTTCCGTGCCATGTCATGCCTGTTGAGTGTTGATTTACTTCATATTAAGAAACTACTGCACTAAAACATTAATTCATAAATGTATATCATATGATTTTATTTCTTTTTCTCAGTATAAATAACACGTGCCCTGACTGTTCTACTCTTTGAATAAAAACACATCATTCAAGCGTAAGGGAGTGCAAGGGGTTATGATGGAGGGGTGTTGCAAATCATGAACACCTGCCAAGTGGTATGATAGCATTGTTTTATACATGTCCTCGGCTAGGCCTCAATTTCAAAATCAGTCCTTGGTCCTTGGCCTTGGCCTTGGAGGCAAGTCCTTGGTCCTTGGCCTTGGCCTCGGAAAATTTTTCAAGTCCTTGGCCTTGGCCTTGCCTCGGAAAATTTTCCAAGTCCTTGGCCTTGGCCTTGGCCTCGGAGGCAAGTCCTTGGCCTTGGCCTTGGCCTCGGGTTGCCGGTCCTTGGACACATCCCTGACCAAAAGTAGAAATGTGCTATATAAGTGACAGGGAATGAAGCAAACCAAGCAGGGGAGGCAGAATGTTTACCCTTCGTTCATCACATGGCCTGAGACGCAACCTTAACCTTCTTCCATAATGTATTCCATAAGCTACTGATTCATTGTGAAATGCTGAACAGCATGTTCCAGTGAGTCATTATTGCAATCGTTGGAATACAGAAATTGTACATTGCCACACTGCACTACAAGAAAATATACGCAAGATAGTTGCTTTTGGGATAAACTCTTGTTTAGTTGTAAATATGTATGTGAGATGTACTGGCCCTGCTCAGCCAAAGTTGATGTTCAAGAAGTCATGGACTTCCAGATTTACGAGAAGTCACCCTCATTTTGTTCAGTGTCCACTCTTGCTTGTCACATACTTGCCACAATCTCTCTTTCTTTCAGGTCAGTCCACTAAGATGCATCCAGTGGCCTCAGAGAAACAAATGTTATCACTTGAGGGGTAAGCAGAACAATGTTCTTTATCACTATATCAAACCTCGCAGCACATCAACAAACAGAAATGTTGGGGAAAAAAATAAATAATGATAATCTTGTTGCCATTTACTCTGGGGGAATGTGAGCTTGTTTAGTTGAAGACTGTTATGACTCCGTTGGATGAGTGCCAACGAGTGGAACACAGACTCATTGTACCTTCTGCCATTTAATGGAATGTCGTGTGTCACGAGCATAGATAGACAAGTAAAGATAAAAGATTTGTAGTTCAATACAGTCAATTGACATGTTTCTTTTACCCATGAATTAAAATTGAATCACTAATACCCGATGTTCTCTCATGGCGCACTGAAATGTTGTGTCACAATACAAATATTACCATTGGCGAGCTAGCTTACTCGAGTTGTACCAGCATCATTCTTGAGTTGTCAGCTGGGCAAGTGTGAAGGCTCCTTGCAACATGGAAAGAAAAGCTGCTCTTCTCCAAAACGTGATCAATCTAATTTGAATTTCCCCAACTTGAAAGGAAGTACCTATTTCTTTGACCATCTTGACTGGCTGCTCTATTCTAATACAACACTCAAAAGGCCCCGTGTCGTCAAGAGTCATGTTCGGTGTCTTTAAAAAGGTTGGACGCAGCAGACGAGAATGACACGAGGACAGCCGAGGAGATCCGCTCCGAGTCGGAGTATCAGATGAGAGTGTGGAAAGGCTTTCTTGTCTGCATTCCTTATGCGGCCAGTATCGGAGGAACCGCCACACTGACGGGAACTGCGCCCAACCTCATCCTGATTGGACAGCTTAAAAAGTAATGCCGACTCATAGCTTGCTTTAAGTAGACTCGGGTTTTATTGTCTTTCTTTTTCATTCTTTCTTATGTTCAGCAATTTTCCAGAGTGTGATGTCATCAATTTTGGCTCTTGGTTTGCATTTGCGTTCCCACTCATGCTCGTCTTCCTGCTTTTGGGATGGCTATGGATCGCATTCCTCCATGGAGGCTTGAACAGACGGTAAATGTGTTTTCCTCATGCACGCAATGGCAATCGCATTGCAGTTTTGTCTTTGCTGAGATATTTCCATCATGTCCATTGACACACCTGCAAACGTACACACCGCATCTCGTCAATAACTATGCAGAGCTGCTGCTCCAGCAAAAACAACTCACGTGTTCTCCTTGGCAAGCGTTAGGCAATGGCCAATTTGTATTGAAGGCTCCTGATGTTGCACGCAGAATTCCGGGACTCAATCAGCGTCAAGGGAAAACCGGTAACCCTGACTAGACAAGAAACAGGAGAAGCCTTCTGAGTGAAATGAGGAATACAAGTGAATCAAAGCTTGAAGGAGGCCGTTTGAATACAACTGGGCTCACAGCCGCAAAAAAGTGCCCATCCCAATTTTTCGATACACAATCATCTGTGCAAACATGAGCGGGCCGCTACGTTGTCCTTTGATGCAACTGGGGTCCACTGGACCCACTGGATCATGTTTAACCTCTTGTGCAATCCTATGATTTCAGAAAAAGACACAAAGAGGGCTCATGTGATACTACAAATACTGTAACACAATAGAATACATGCGTTTGGGAAGGGAAAATCAATGTTTTTCAATCAATAGCTTTGCAAACACGATAAACATATTCTATAGCTGAGACAAGTGTGGAGTTAGGTGACCTGCCTGTAAACTGCCTGTATTGTCCGGTTTTACTCCATAGTCACGTTCCAACTGGTTTGAATGCGTATGAAGAATCTTGCTGAGTGTCCCATTAACTCTTGGAATGATTTTGCTTTCTGCAGCTTGTGCTTCAAGCATAACAGAAGAGCAGAAGAAGAGGCCCAAGCTCGGGCTCTCATTGAAGAGGATTACAAAAAACTTGGGCCTTTAAAGTGAGGACCCATGTATGTCTTCAAGCTGAATTGAATTGGTGGCAATTTGTCTTTGGAAGGCGACGGCTTGAACAAACTGTGCTCCCTTGCAGTTTTGCAGAGGGGGCCATCTCTTTCTTCTTTGTCTTGTATGCCGTTCTCTTATTCACAAGGGATCCTAAATTTGTCACCGGATGGTCTGTCTTTTTTAAGAAGGGGTAAGGAAACTACCCTTGGCATTCATCATACCACCGTTTTAGTATGAATTGCATGTGACTTTCTGTTTCCTCCTATGTGTTCCAGCTATGTGTCAGACGCGGTCACCGGTGTGATCATTGTGTCCATATTATTTTTCTTCCCGTCACAGAAACCTTCTCTTGGCTGGTGGTTGGACCCCAAAGGTCAGTGGACTCGTCACCGCGTGGCCATCTTGCCAAATGTCACATTTCAACACTTTCATTCAGGAAATATGGCAAAGTCCCCCAGGAGTGCTTCTAATTACTCTTGAGGAATGGAATTATTCATTGCAGTTGGTGGCTAAATTGATAGAAGAGGTTCTAAAGAAAACAATCCATCAAATATAATAAGTGTGATTTGATGTTGTGTAACTAATGTGGCCGTGGTATATATTTTAATATATTTTACAAAAAGTTGAATCTCACTACCATGGAAAGCTATTCCAAAAAAACCTTTCTTTTTTACGTAGAGTGTTGATGGCATCCGTCACTGCATTGGACGATTGTGGGCCATTGCATACACTGCCATCCAATGGTCAGCCATTGTAAGAAACAAAATAAAACCTCAAAAACGAAGACGAAGCACAAGGAAAAAAATTTACATTACTTCGTGACAATTGAGAGAGCTCAAATGTCGTCTGTACAGTTTTGGAAAGTTTTGTCATGGCCACAGTCGAACCCTTGAGAAGGTGAATTCATGACTGACTTGTCTTTCAATCCAAACAAATGGTGAGCGTGGCAGTGAGGCAAAGTGGATTGCGTTGGACCTCCAAGGTTCTTCCGCACTAAGCTTCTGTCTGAAGCTGCTGCAAAATATCACAAGTAACTTAAGGAATGTTAATAATGTAGATTAGAGAGCGGGCGCGCTGGCCGTCTGGACGTGGGTCTCCTGTATGCTTTGTGCGTTTCACCGATCAGGATAATCTCTCAAAGCTCTTTGTGGTGGCACTCACGCATTTACATGCACATGCCTTGTGCCTATTCTGGACACGTGCGTGAGCTAGATTGTTTTTCAGACTCAGCTGGACAAATAGACAGCTGGAGACAAGGGGAAGCAGGCAAACAAAACATTCTCCACTGAAAACAAGGTTCTTGAATGTTCCCTCAGCTTCAAATGCGCCATACGTTCCTCTCCTATCATGGAAGAAAGCCCAGGAGGCTGTTCCTTGGAATATCATTCTGTTGCTTGGAGGCGGCTTTGCCATGGCTCAAGCGTGTGAGGTAAAACTGTGTTCCGGAATTCACGTTGAGTTGTACCGCATTCAAATGTGTCAGATGATTGAATGATCATGTCGTTCATGTCTTCATTTCTTCTTCACCACATTGTTTGGTTTCATTCTCTCCAGTGCTTTGTTATGTTGTGATTTGACCTTTCACCTCTTGTGCTCTTTGGCAGGAGTCCGGACTGGCCTCCTGGATCGGAGGCTACCTCCAGCCTTTGGTCAAGGTCCCGCCTGCTGCGGCCATGATGTTGATCACAGCTTTCGTGGCCTGTTTCACGGAGATCGCCAGCAACACCGCCACCATTATCATATTTTTACCAATTATTGCTGAACTGGTGAGTTCTTCTTGAATACCCAATGACGTGTGGTCAACTTGGTCTTGATTGGGCTACTTGCTGTCATCCTGAAATTGGCAGTTACAGCTGCAGTCAGAAGTTACACTCACCTTGAGCATGAATGCATGGGGAGTCTATTAAGTATGGTAGTGGGCAAAAATAACATTTACAGTACCTCTCTCTCTCTCACTCACACACACGTACTCACACATTTTCTTCTGTGCGAGATTGTGCTCACACCATTTTAAGGCAAATAGATAGAGCTGGTGGCACCAACCATTTGGCCTTCTCCTGGCCTTAATTTTTGCAGCCCCCAAAGTTTTATTTTGGCCTCTTTGATATGGTAATTATGGTAAAACAATGTCTACATATATGTGCTTGTGTCTCTCGGGCCGAGAAGAAAGCACGCACAGTTAATAGAGGAACCTTTCTTGCCCATTCCACGGACAGCGAAAACTCTTCTTGATTAGTTTTGACAACAGTTTGAAAGCTTGCTACCGCTATCTACATGACTTAAGTATGAAACCAAGGACTGTAGTCTATCCAAAATATGACAAAAATGCTACTTCTAAAATGCTAAAATTCTGTAATGTATGACTTCTTCTTTATTATGTCCAACTGTTTTCACGATGGAGCAGAGGAATCAAACAGCATTTTTCTGTGACTCCTCTTGACATTTGACAAAAACAACAACAAAAAAACACACCAGAAAAGACACCTGCTTTTGCTGTTGAGTTCGGTTGCAACAGACATGATTATGTTTGGACTGTGTTAGTTATTAACCCCGTATTGTCTCTAATCATTACCTGGCGCCTTTGTACTTTGCAAAAGGTACATACACTGGCCACGACCCGCTCAAGCATTCTTTACAAGTAAAGCTTCAGTTTATTATCGCAGACGTATACAGTGACTCAGAAAGAGTCAAGGTAGATTAGCATTGTGTTGGTAGATGCCGGTTATCTATTGCATTTGTGTGTCCGTTTATGAGAAATGTATTTGACAGCATTAATCATTGTCCCCCCAAAAAATACTAATCCTAATTATTAAGTGGCACCTGTATCGTGAGAGCAAATTGTTGTTCGTCTGTGCATGCTCTGCGATTGGCTGGCAAACAGTTGAGGGTGTCCCCCGCCTACTGCCCGAAGACAGCTGGGATAGGCTCCAGCACGCCGGTGACCCTTGTCAGGATAAGCAGATTAGAAAATGGACGGCGGGACAAAGTGGCGCTTGTAAATCTTTCCTAGCAGGATTGTTACCATATTATATACAGTGATGGACATATATTTAGAAGCGAAATTCTATTATTTGTTTATTTTACTGTCAGCGATTTACTCTCTTCATTTCTTAACGTTTCTCTTCATGTGCACTGCTTCCAATACAGTCCAATCAAATTTTAGCTGTTGAAATCATGAAAATGTAATCTGCCCATGGCCTTAGGAATCAGTAACGCTGGTCAAGGTAACCTCAATTATATTAATAACGCAACTGTTTCTTAAACCAATTATATTTCAAATTTGACTCACTGGGCACTCAATGTGAGCATTTTGCAGTACGTTGGCCAGTCTGAGCAAAACGTGCTACAGCCACATTTGACCCCCAACACAAGTCTGAAGAGTTTTGCATGCATTGTTACATGAAACCATCAGCATCCCTGGCGAATACTTTGATGTATTTATTGACATTTAAAAAAAATGCTTTTGTCATTTTATTTGAAAGCTACTGGTTGTGATCAGCTCCAGATGATGTACGTAGTCCGAGTGACTGCCGTGATGTGTTTTTACATAAAATTGATGGTTAGGATGAAAGCAATGTGACAGTGGTGGTATTAAGAGGTAGATCAAGATGGATAAACTGCTTGAAGGGAACATTTGTACAGTCACTTGCAGCATATTCTAACCAAGCCCTCGGCACACTTTACAAGAAGCAGTAACTTGGCAAATAGTCAACAATTCAACAAAAGACAAACTTCATGCCCCAGTTGAAGTTTACTGTAAAACTAAACACAAACCAAAGACGATGACACCTTTTTTTTTTTTTTTAAACAACCAAACTACTGCCCAAAGGCAGGCACGCGAGTTGAGTGACAATGCTAATTGGCAAATACGTTGCAGTGTTAATCCCACTGATAGAATGAATGTTTTTTTTTTGTCAGGGTTCGTTCAACAACAGTCGCAAAGATGTTCACCAGACATTCCCCAACAGTTTTAACTGGTCCAAACTGTTTTTTTTGTCGACATCAAATTTTGAGCATGTCCAAAATGTCTTTGTGAGAAGAAACAGTGTTGAAGACCGTTAAAATTGTAGGCAAACGTCTCTACGACTGTTTGTGACCTCAAACGACCTTGTTTCTAGGTTGTGCACACACTTGTAAACCTTCGCTGCTCAGTGAAATATGTCCTTTAGCAACGCAATGAATGCAAACGGTTTAGCAATAACAGGCAGACAAACAATATAGCAGCATCTCACAGTCAGATACTCTTTATCCTCTGCATAGAATGACAAATAATGCTGAGTTCAGAGAGAAGTTGAGACGTTATGAATCCCACTTGAGTTTGAGGCATGACATGCCCTGCTGCAATATGATTGGCTGCTGCAAAAAAGGCAAGGACTGCTTCAAACTCCAGTGCGATTCAGATGAATGCATTAATGCCGACATGATTGAATGTTGCATAGCCACCTGGCACACCAGAAAGAAATCAACATTTAATTGATGCAGTCTGGCAAAAACTGTTTATGTTTGTCTGTACAGCATATCTTGACTCGGGTCGCCGGTAATTAGCACATTTTATTGACGAATGTTTTGATAACGTTGGTAAACTATGCTCCACATACTGCAGTATATTTTCCATACATGCCTTGAAGGGCGCCATAAATAACATCTCAAATTACTCACGCTGAGATGACTTGTTGCTGATGCCGACACAAAATATTTCCTTGAGATACGTTCTTGTGTTTTTGTAGGCGTTTCATGTGTCTGTGAATCCACTGTACTTCATGATTCCTGCAACAATTGGGAGCTCGTACGCTTTCATGTTACCTGTGTCCACACCACCCAACTCCATCGCCTTTGCCTCCGGCCACCTCATGGTCAAAGACATGGTGAGATTCTGGCTTGTGTTTTTCAACAGAAGGACCGTTGCTTGTTATTCATTGTCTGTCATGTGCTGTGCCATCTTAGGTCAAAACTGGCTTTGTCATGAACATTCTGGGCCTCCTCTCAATCATGCTGGCCATAAACACGTGGGGCATGGCCATGTTTAACCTGGACACCTATCCTGACTGGGCTCACCCTCTCAACCAGTCTGCTGTTCACACACTAAATGCTACTCCCTGATCACACAACTGGATTCAGTACGAAACAGAGACCAACAAATTGTTTGGAAGGAAACCCTTTTAGTGTTCAGCTGCTACCTTTTACAGCAGGGTTAGGGAACTCCCGGTTCCTCGAGAGCCATATCCTGCCTGTTTTAGATCCCTCCCTACTTTAACAAACCTGATTCAATTGCTCATGATCATTTCAGGCCTCTTCGGTGCTTGTTGATGAGCTGATCATTGGAATCAGGTTTTTTGGAGTCGGGAGGGATCTCAAACAGGCAGGATATGGCTCTCGAGGAACTGGAGTTCCCTACCCCTGTTTTAAAGCATCCGTCCCTCAGGATCCCTCCAATACACTCTGGTTCCTCTTTTGGGCACGAAAAAGACATTTTTCATGGGGTGCACGGCATGCATTGGAACTTTTAACAGATGCCACGTGATTTTGAAGAAAACAATAAATGAAGCAAAATCATGTAAACACTGTAAAATATCAAATCCTTTTAGCATTAACCATCCATCCATTATCCAAACCGCTTCTCATCACGAGGGTCGCGGTCATGCAGGAGCCTATCTCAGCTGTCTTTGGGTAGGAGGCGGGCTACACTCCAAACTGGTCACAAATGATAACACTTTGTCCCACTCACAGCCCGCAGAAGAGAGGTCTGGGGTCAGCATCTGTAGTTCTTGATCTTTGGTGTGTTTTGACCAAAACCTCGTCATGACATGGACAAGATGCATAGCATGTCAAAGTGAAGTTAAACAGTTATGAACAACATATTTTCTGTTGTCGGGCAAACAAGTTGGACATGTTGTCCTCTCTTGAGACAGAGCGAGGACCCCCATGTGCGGTGTGCTACAAAATGTTAGCAGTCACATGGCTCACAGCAATGGTTAACTTACACAAGGCTCTTGTGGTTACTTAGTGTCAGTGGTGTCGCTGCAAAAGGCTTTCAATGCAAAACCTTGAGCCACGGAAGTCACTTGGGAATGGCTTTAGGGCCATGACAAATATCGAAATTGAAATCAAAATTGAAACCATGATTCACTTCATGTGAATGCGTATTATTTTCATTATAATTGTCTAAATTATGCAACTGATCAAGTGTGTTTATGAAAAGGAAATATTGTATTGTTTGTTTTTTTGAATAACAACAACCTCGGGCCTCACAAACCTGTTCTTACAAACAAATGGCTTCTGACTTATACACTTCATGTTTTTCTGTTGTTGTTGTTGTTTTGTTTTGATTCTACAAATGTTAATATATTTAAAATATTGTTACGTCTATAGCATTTTGTTACAGTTGATCTTTTCCTTATTAACCTTTATATGAACAAATTTCAGACAGTGTTTATGAACCTATTACTGTCGACCAATAGTGTCCATTTCTTTTATACTGTTGAATAAACTATGCTTGATCACTCGATTGGCGTTATTTTCTTGACCACAAGCTTCAGAATGTAGCTGTCATACTGTGTCGGACAACATGTCACATGATTCCAAGTTTCCTCCATTTAAAGGACACTTACTCCACGTGGGAACAAAGTCATGACTGTGACTGTGTTCATACCACTTCCTCTTTTATTTGTCACACATTGCCAAGCATTTTTTCTTTCGGATGCAACATGTCATACCCGCGTCGAAGTTTGCCATGAAGTGTGTCATTGGGGCTCTCAGGTAAAAATCTTAATTGTCTCGTTTCATGATGAGGAGTGGAAAATCAGATTCAATATATTTTACGCAAGATTTGTGAAACTTTCTGTGTTATTTGCATCCACCTACGTATCAGTATTGGTTTTGTCAAATGGGATTGTTGCCTTTTGGTATCTTAGCAGCCAGTGCCCACTCTAATACACACTGAAAAGCTAAAATATAAATATTTTTGTATACACCAAAAGAAAGAAGAAAAGGCTGTAAATGAAAAGCTCTCATTTGAAAGCACTGTTATTCCACAGTCAGCTGTCATACAGTATTTCTGTTGTCTATTAACTTGAAACCAGGTGATGATTAGCATGTCACCACATACACTATCGTGGAAACTGTTATTGTTAAGTTCACGTGGGAGGTACACACAGTTAAGTCGTTTTTGTGTGTTTGCACTTTTGTCAACTAATATGCCCTTTTGCGAAAATCCACCAAGAGCCTAACATGAACATTTTCAAAGTAACTCTACTACGTAACCTATGCACAGCCCTTTTGATGGACAGCATGTGTCCATAATGAGCTGCATTCATTTCCCTTGTCACAGATAGACAGACAGACCAATTGACAGATCAATAGATACATTATTGATCCGCAAGGGAAATTTACTGCTCCACGAGTGTCTGCAATATTAACACCACACACCGTAAAGCAGACATTCTATATTATCAATAAGATTACATTCAGCAGGTTGATAAGGCCCATTCACCAAGATAAGCTTGTCAGACACAACTTAAAGGTGGACACAATAACACAATATGAGCCCTCCTTCCAGACATAAATCCTAGCAATGGCTAAGATAATCTAGCCACGAATTTGGCAGAGCAAGCTAACTTAGCTCATAACAGCTACGTACGACACAAACTTAATTTATTATTCATGGACACATAAGCTGTTTGTTCCTAACTATCTTTGGTGATTCTCACAATATTAGCAGGTCAACCATGCTTTGGAGGACCCACAAAAATAGCCCCGCAACATTGCCTACCAAAAATACACAAACAAACAACAGTCTTGCACATGGTAAATTACACTATTATTGTATGTTTGCTTGTGTTTCCCCATAGACGTATAATGTGTGTGTGTGCATGCGTGCGTGCGTGCGTGCGTGCGTGTGTGTGTGTGTGTGTGTGTGTGTGTGTGTGTGTGTGTGT